AAAAAGTACAAATTACTAGTTACAAATGGCAAATATAAATAGAAAGAAAAATAAAAATGAGATAGACATGTTCTCATTTTTCAGACTGATATCAAATATCAATAGAATTAATACAAAATGGGGGTGGTGGGAGTGTAAATTTAGCAAAAACTCTTGGGAAGACAGTTTGGAAATGTGTCCAAATTTAAAAAGCACATATTTTTACAGTCAAAAATCCAAAGTAGGATCCTACCTTGAAGGAAATATTCTTTGGAAGCGTCAGTTCTGATGTTCATTAAAATTAATCATACTATAGAATGCTTTTGAACACAGAGGTCAAATATATAGAAATATTAGTAATTTAAATTACAGAAAGAAAGAAAAGCCTAGAGTAGCAGGAATGGGACATTTCAAATGAGCCCCGGGGAAATTTTCTCCAGACAACAGAGGGATTTCGCAATGGTCTCCAGGAAGCCTTGGTGAAAAGTCTAGCATTTGTGACATTTAAAGGGAGACCGGGCACGAACACATGTATTTGGTAAATAAGCTTATGAAAGAGACGATTACATTGGAAAAATCTTTTAAATACTTTTCATCGCTTTCATGCTGTGACTTCCTGAACAATTTTCAGAATGATTTTGCTATTATAGGTTCAAGAGTATCATGCCACACTTGTTTCCAACATCATGCGAAGTTCATGCAAAAGGCGGAAGATATAATTAGATGTGAGGAGATTTATTACAGCTGGTTAGAAAAACAATCTCCAGATAAAGCACATGGAGTCCAAGGCATAGAGAGAAAACCCATTTCAAGTAAACCTAATTTTCAAAGCAATTTGTCAACCATAACAGCATAGTTTTGTCCTGATTTTAAGGGCTAGGCATATAAACTTTCCTACTTTGGTCCGAAGTTATCTGATTTTTTAAAACCTCATTTCATATTTTATTTCAATCTTCAGTTTTTTTCCCCTTTCCTTTCTCATGTCCAGAAACCACTAAGCCATTTAAATACTGTGGAATGCTTACAATTCTCCACATCCCACGGAGGTAGATTATTTTCAATGGAATTATTGCCTCCTCTGTAAAGTTAATCAAGGGATGAAGCTTTAAGGGCCTGGATACATTTTTTTCCCATCCACAGTGACTCAGTTCTGGAAGGAAATCAAATACTGACCGCAGCACCTCTGGTCCCTCTGGCACCCTTAGGACCACTTTTCCCAATTTGTCCAGGAGAACCTCTGCTTCCAACTTCTCCTATGGGCCCTATTTGTCCTTTATCACCCTGCAGATGACATTAATAAGAGAGAAGAGAAAGAAAAAACCAAATTTATTCTTAGATCAATTAACTATGGCATATACCTGAATGATCCCAGAGGATATTTACTTGGTGAGCAAAATTCTATAAAGAGCAACTTTGCTTTGAGTTCATAGTATTACAGACCCCTGCCAACAATAATAACATACCACCTCTACACATATTTTTAAAATAAAAGTAATTTATGAAAAAGAAGATTAAAAAATAATTTTCACCAAACAGCAGGGGATGATAGCTATTGTTCACGCTGAATTCCAAATAACCAATTATTTTTATGTTGAATTTTGCTCACATGCATGCATATACATATAGACGTGTTGTTAGCATGAGAAAACATAGACCATATGATGAGTCTGTTTCTATAGAGAATTTCAGGGCCACCAAAATTTGTTCGATGCAAAAACTGCTCCGATTCTCAGTTCTGCCTATTCAGTATTCACCGACTGGCTTCGCGTGCTCCTTCCAAACTATGTCACATTTTAATATCATTTTACCTTTTCTGAAAACTGGTTACCTTCTGTTTTCCATCAGCCTAACTGACCTTCTTTAGCACCAAAATACGCTGCTCTGAAACATCCTTGTGCTAGTCATTTTCTGAAAGTGGAAATCAACCTGACAGTCAAGGAGATACAAAGAAAAACCAAACTGGGAACACGGGCCATTTCTGATGTTCACAACAGTTTATAGGTTTTATTTTACTTTCATGGGGGTGCCAGTTGGAAAGACCTTCACTGGATCTTTCTTAATGTTTATTTTAGATATGACACTAGGTCTGATGGAAGAAACTTCAATGTTGGTTGTTTTTTTGTTTGTTTGTTTTTTGTTTTTAAACAGGCAAGAAGAGCAACAAAAAGTTCTCTCATTCATTTCTCTTTATTGTTAATCACCCTTTCTGCTTTTCAAAAGTTCTGGGAAAGATAGGCTAGGTGTATATCTGGAGAAACGCTACAACTGGACTTTGGAAACCAGAATACGGTGTGATTTAAAGTTAATCATAATAAATATGTTTTGCACTGTCACAGTGCAAAGGGAAAGACAGCCCCATGTTTCAGCAATATATGTGAACAAATTATTGATTCCATACAAAGCTGAATTTTACTTTATACTAGAATTTAAAATTTCTAGGATCTAGAAATGTTAGAATATAATGTACTAGAATTTTACTAATATATCTTTTCTTTATTGAAATACAACATAAGCAAAAATATTCTTAATTTGAGGCTCTTAATATATGGGAAAAATAAAATCAACCATTACCTTTTCAACTCAGAAAAGTGCCAGTTATACTCATATTCATTTCCCTCAAATATTACTAAAGTTGTTATTGAATAGCACAAATGATAGAGTATTTTCTTTTATCTCTTTTCTTGCCCCTGGTTTACTAAAAGAATTTTTGGCAAACAGGAGAAGGAGGAAAAGCCAAGATATTTTTATAAACTACAAAGTGGAAAATTCGCCTTCAAATAATCAAGGTGATAAGTACACTTCACTGGAATTAAATGTTAATTCATAGAAATGTGCTTTTTAAAGCCAAATGGATAATCCTTTATTACTTTATATCTAGTACAAATAAAAACATTACAGCATTTCTATAGAGATCGGACACATCAGAACAAAAAAGAATCAGAATAAAAAGATGTTAAAAAAAAAAAGAAATTACCTTTTTTCCTGGACGGCCTCTTTGTCCTGGAATTCCCACAATTCCTTCAGGTCCCTGAAATATTTGATATAAAGGAGGAAATAAATGGTTAAAGAAAAGACGAGATGGATGGAGTGTTTAAATCCTTATGTCAACAATCACTGAATCAAAAACTAGGCAAAAATAAGAGTTCATTTCCAAGCATATTATGTTTCTATAATTACTTACAAAGAGATCATAATGATTTAGGGGTATAGCTGTTACTAGATAAAAAGTTTACAAACACAAACCAGCCAAGATAGGTAAAATTATGCTGTTTGTTCCTCTAGAAAGAACATTACTCGGTTTTGGGATACTCATGTGAATTAGTAAGAATGTAATTAAAGTGAACTCATGCCTTCTATAGCCCAGGTGGTTAAAAAAAAATAAAGCAAAGGAGACCCAAATGCATTCATTTCAGCACTTGTATTAGCTATTGTGAACTCACTATCTTAAGGAAAGTATGAGATTATAAAATAGTATATATCTAATACAAGTTCAAGGAAAATCTCAACATTTTATTGGAGTAGAGAGGGTTAAAGAGATATCCTCTGATCTGTGGGGAAAAAGAGAAGGAATTACAGGCAGAAAAAGCAGGTAACCATATTAAACTGTTTAAAATAATATTTCAATCTGTATTTTGTTCAGCTAAAAGTTTTCAATATACATTTTTTAGTAAAAAAGGGGACACTATATGAATTTTAAGATTGATAATAGTTAGGCTTAAATGAGATCCACAGGTTGTAAGTCCTAAAATTTAATCACAACATTCCTTGTATTAGTTGGAAATGAAAATGCAAATATCAAATTTGTGTCCTCAGTGCTTGGCAAACTGAAAAGTGATGTAGACAAGAAATAAATTGTGGTTTACCGCTGTGCTATGTAGGCTCTCAATAAATATTTGTTGAACGAATAAACAGATACCTAAGGAAATGACTCATGCCTTATGCTCCTGAGCAAATGCTCTTCTACCCTCAGAAAATTGCTGAATTTGGAGGCCAAAGCTGTTATGCTCGATTGCTGTAGCTATAGCTGCATCCAGAGGTCGAAATGATAGTTGCACCATCCTGAGGACTTCTGTGCAGTTAATGAGGCCCTTTAAAGACAGGCTGATTCACCTGAGATTAAGGATCTGAACTTTTCACTGCTCCAGTTTCACCCTGGCTCTGGCACCTATAATACCTATATGGCCAAAGTAGAATGTGTAACTTTTAAAGGTCTCAGTTTCCTGTTAAATAAAAGGGGTATAATAATACCTCTTCAAAGGCTTACTAAGATTACATAACATAATGTAAGTGAAGTTTAGAAAGGACTACATAATGAAGAGCTCAAGAAATATGAGTTCTCACTAACTTCTATTTTTTAGAAAGCGCATTATACAACATTTAAATACAGAGGGTGCCAAAAAATGCATACACACTTTAAGAAAGGAAAAAAACTGTATTAAAATGAAAATATTCAATATATACCAATAACAAAAGATGAATACAAGTCACGTTTGATTTCTGCAATTACAAAAGGTGCTCTAAGTGGTCCCCATCAGCATCCAGACGCTTCTGATTATGGTGAATTACCGCTTGAGCAACGTTGACCAAAGTGACCACTTGTATCGTCTTCATTCAGGGTGTGTGATAATCGTGGGGTGAAAATGTCCCATTTTGCTGTTTTAAGAACATGTTGTGTGCATGTATTCTATTTTTGTTTGTTTGTTTGTTTATTTAGAGATGTGGTCTTGCTATGTTGCCTGCGCTGGACTTGAACTCTTGGGCTCAAGTGATCTTACCTTAGCCTCCCAAGATAGCACTACAGGGACGTGCCAGCTGCCATGCTCGGCTTGGTTTTTATATTAATTTTAGATTTGGCACCCTGCTGAGTTTTCATTAATTCTTATAATTTATAGATGATTTCTTCTGTTTTGCCACACTGGCTATACTTCTACGTAAATGAATGTTAAGTAGAAATGATAAATTGTGGTAATGTTAGCTCATTTCTTTTGAAGTTTCACCATTAAGTATATAGTTAACTTCATGCTTGCTTCAGCAGCCCATATACTAAAATGGGATTGAATGGGAGAGAAGATTAGCATGGGCCCAACATAAGGATGACATGCAAATTCGTGAAGCTAAAGTTTTCAAAGAGCATAATAGTGAATGTGTGAATATTAAATTTTACTAATTTATTTTGGTTCATGTATTGGGATGATTGTACTGCATATTTCTTTAATCTTATAATTTTTTAAAATGTGAAGCTTTCGTTCCAATACTGGTAGACGAGGGAATTCACATTACATTAGTACTCCACGACTGTATTAAATCCACATATTCATGTATTACATCCACTGACACACGCCGATGCTACCTTCCAATGAATGATTCAATTTAGGCATCAGTGTGTTTAGCTAAGTATTTAAATATTAATAAAAATTTGCTCCTCTGCAGTGCACAATCAAAATAAAAATGAAGTGCTGATACTAGTAACAAGCATTCGTCTCATAAATGTATATAATTAGGCACGGGTTATTATTCTGAAATCATATGCATTATTCTACACTTAGCTCTATCTTCTACCTCCATTCCTGCCTCATTTTCAAGTTCATAACCATGCCTCCTCCTTCATGGGGCTACAGTAGCAATCAGACAAGAAAGAGCCGGCTGCTCCTCCTAACTCCTAACCCGCCAACACCCTTCCGCAGGTACCCACAGTTCTACCTCCCTTCTCTTACAGTGGATGAAGTGCCCTTCCCTGGTGAGGCCAGCTCCTCACCTGTGCTCTGAGGCCCGTGCCCTCTCACCTCTGCAAGGGCCTTGTGTCTGAAAGAATCCCCCCTTGGACTTGCACTATCCATTTTTCCCTGGATCTGGATCATTTCCAACTTCACCGAAATCCTTGCCCTCACGGGTCTTCCTCCTCCCACCCCTGTTTCTTATGTACTTTTCTAGTTCCTCGTTCTGTTTCCCACTCAACCCAAAACTTTCTGAAAGACTTGTTTATGCACCTTGTCACGGATTCCTTCTCATGCTGTTTCCATTTGGGCCTGTATTCTCACTACACCTCGGAAACTGCTCTTTCCCACTTCACCAACTGCTCTCCACATGGCCAACTCCAGTGGTCAGGCGTCTGGCTCACTGAACTTGAAACGTTCCCCCCCCACACCAGTCTCATAACTCATTTAAGCTTCCAATTAATTAATTAACTAAACCAATATGCTCCCTTGGTTTCTACCAACATCTTATACGCAGGCTCCTCCTCTGCCCCAACCTTCTTTTATCTTTTTAGGTGGTATCTTCCGGTCCCCATGGCTTTAAATGTATATGTATTCTTGATTCCTAAATTATATTGCCTGTTCTGATCATACTGCTGGCCTTCGAATATCAACTTTATGACATCTTTTTAAAAATTTCTTTGTAAGTTCAATTTTTAGAGATGGGGGGGGTCTCACTATGTTGCTCTGTTGCCCAGACTGGCCTTGACCTCTTCAACTCAAGAGATTCTTCTGCCTTGGCTTCCAACTAGCTGGAATCACAGGCTTGTGCCACCGTGTGCCCCTCTTTTTGATTTTCTAAAGATGTCTTTAATCTGTCTCCCATGCCTGCTCCCTCCACTAAACTGCTTCCCTCTGAGTCTTCCCCATCTCCATTATAGTGGGGCAACATCCTGAAAATTATTAAAATGTTGTCCCTTTTTGTTTCTTTGAATTAAGAACTTTGCCCTATTTACCCCGAGGGGTCTGTATGCCCAAGGGCTGAAGGTCTTAAGAGACTTTGTTATTTTCCTTATTTCCCACTTTCACCATCTCCCAAGTTGAGCCTGGAATGCCCCCTATCTGACAGATGACATCTATCCTGGGAAGGATTTTCCTTGCTGGCAAGGATGAGGACATGACACAGGGGAAGGAAAGAGAAGCCTAAACTTTTTTTTTTTTTTTTTTTTTGGCTCTAGGAGAATGTTGAAGACAGAGGGAGAGCCATGGGTCTTCACATTTTCCTCTTTCTGAGTTATGTCAGAGACCCTGTTCCTTTCTAGGCATCCAGAATTTGAAAAGTTACCTTCTCTAGCCATCACTTCGTCTGCACTCACGTCATGTGGTTGTTCAGCAGAATGAAGAAGACCACATGGTGAGGCTTTCCTGAGCTCCTCTCTGACTACTACACGATGGTCAGGGGAACTCAGAACCAGCTGGGGAGCTTCTGGGGGCCCGGGGTGGTCACTACTGTAGGAAGATGGAGCTCTGTAATAAGGGCTAAAGAGTAGATTGCTATGGCTGGGACCGAATGAAAAATCACAGCAGACCTCAGAGAGACCTGATCTACAAAAATTAGTGGCGACTGACATGAAATCTGTTCAGAAAGGGAACCACTGGCTTTCCCCCCAAAGAAAAAACCTCAGATTACCAGCTGCAGACATCATCGCCAGCTGCTAGCAGGACAGGAAGTGAGGAAATTTCTCAGGGGCATTACCTGCATCAGAATCCAGGGCTTTGTCGTCCTGGACATCGTAAGACACAGACTGAGTGTGGGACAGCAGTAAAAGAGGGAGGACAACGAATGAGAAGCCTAAGAGGCGGAGCGTCTTGATAGTCTGAGCATTACCTGCAGATACAGCTACGTTATCAGATTAACGAATGGGATTTTAACATTTCTCTTTGCCTCCTGCGTCACCCCTCCACATCTCACTAATCAGTGAGCAGGGGCTTGTAAGGAAAACTAGATGGGCCAGAAGTAAAGAAACTACACATTTGTACATCTTCAAGTACAAATCTGGAGCCCTGTTATTCATTCAATGATATGACCATCCGCTCAGCTGCTAAGTGGATTTATTCTTTTGTATTTTTTCCCACTTTCTTAAAATCTAAAGCAGCAGCAAACCCATCAGCTTTCCCTCCAAATGGTCTTCAGTCTGCCCACTCTTCTATTGCTAGTGCTCTTCGAGTTCCAGTCCCCTACCATACCGTCATTTTTCATCTAACTACTGCCACAGCCTCCCAAGGCGTTTCACCCCATAGTCCATTTTTTTTATAACATGCTGACCATATAAAGCATACACCTCTCCCTGTTAAAAACCTTCCAAATAGCTTTCCATTGCAATTATAATGATCTCCACCCCTCTTAGCATGGTCTGAACTACCCTACATGATCTGGCTACTATTTCTCCACACTCCAACTACATGGGCCATCTTCCTGTCTTACTTGGTTTGTTTTTTTAAAAATAGACTGAGACTCTTTCTGTTCTAGGGCCTTTGCATATATATTTCCTCTTCCTAGAATGCTCTTTGTCTCAGATGTTCACAGGGCTCATTCCCTGATTTTGCTGTCTGGCTCAGTGTAAACTCAGGCAGTGCTTCTGTGTCCACCCAAGGTAACCCCTTTGCCCAGCCATTCTGGATCCCAACACCATGTCTTACTTTCTTCACAGCACTTGTCACTTTCCGAAATTATTATTCTTGTTCACATTGACTTCCTACACTAGAATGTAAATTCCACAACATCAGGAACCTTGTCTGTTTTGTTCACTGCTATATCATTAGTATCCAGAACTGTGTCTGGCATACAGTTGATGCTTAATAAATATTTAATGAATGAATACATGAATACCAGCATGCATGCCCAAAGGTGAAGATAATTAGCCTTCATCAGACAGCAAGCCAGTCTCCTAGGTATTTGTTTGCAGGGAAATAACATTTTAAAGAACATATACTAAATACTGGAAGTAAAACCAAATTTTATGAATAAAAAGCAAAGTGTTGTGAGAGATTTTCATGACATTTCTTTTTAGATTCTAGAAGATCCCTTAGGGATTGTTCGCACAGTAAACTTTTGTACATACTTGAAGAACCCATTATGTATGAGAAAAAGGGTGACTTTATTCTACATTGTATTTTTTTTCTGTCATAATAATCAGAAAGTTCTCCCTTGGTTCTTTTGTTCACTTTTTATTCTTTACAAAAAATATATTGTTGTTGTTATTTTTTTCGGGGTTGTCTTAAATTTCCACTCGTATTAAGGTAATTTTTTTTATCATTTGAAATGCATAAGTAACATTTTGCTCCAAAATGTTGGCTTTTAAAAGTTAACATAGCCCACTGCAATCCATTTGTGTATTCAAATGCTTGCAAGACATATAAGAAAAATACCAACATTTTCTACAATAATGAATATTAAAATAAATTTCTTCTCTAACTATAGACAAAAGAATGCTATTTTATTTATTTATATATGTCAAATATACATATTTCACCTCTCTACCTAACATATGTTTTCTACTATTAAAAAGTTGACTTCTTACCCTTAGTTTAATATTCTTTTCCATCACCCCCATCTATTTCCATTATCACATTATCACAATCTGCAATGATCTTTAATCTGTCAATATTCTCCACTCGATTAGAAAGTATAAGACCAGGAACCTTGGTATTCTTGTTCCCCACTGCACCCCAAAGCTTAGCAGAGTTCTTGGTTCATAGAAGCTACTCAAAAACTTTGTTGAACTAATGAATGGACCAAATTAAATTTTATTGTACAAAATCCAATACATTTTATAGAATCATAGTCTGTAAGGCTGAATAAAAATTTAGAAAATCTAAGGTAATGCTTTTTCAAAGACAGAATCTTTTCTTTCAAAGAAAACCTATATAGAAGCTAATATGTTGAACAGATGTAAAAGGATCTTTTCTGACACACTAATTCACTGTTCCTCTTGACATAACCATCTTGGAGGGGGGAGGTTGTGCAGAGTTCTAATCCCTTTATTATGAACTGAGAAAGCAAAGAATGACTTACTTGCCTAGGGTGACCAGATTTTAACATTTGTTAAGCTGGACAACATGGCTGGGGGTGAGGCAGGGGACAGGGCAGGGGACCTGGCAGGGCAGGGCCTGACAACAATGCAAACTTTGATAAGCAGTTCTCGATAATCACTTCTCAACAATTATTTGTTATTATTACAGTTTAACATTATAAAATTAACAAAAATAATATAAAACTCATATGCTGGCAAAATAGCCACATGGCAGCCGAAAACCGTATATTCCCTTCCTGTTCTCCCGCTCGTTCCTGCATTCTTTCTAAAAATCAGGACTTTTTTTAAAATGCCACGGGACACAAGACAAACTGTTAAAAAGCAGGACTGTCCGGCC